TCCCTCAAAGCTGATTGGTCAGTTAGGCTGGTGCGAACAGGCACTTGATGCACACTGCTCTAGGGAGCATACTGTGTACCAGAACTCCAGGACAGGGATAACAAAGCAATATAGACAAAAAATGCCAGCTACCTCCACCTCAAAATTCAAGACAAACGTGTAACAAACACTCAGTTCCGTACAACAATATCTTATAGAAGAAGTGTTGACATAACATAACGTAATAGGTCTAGCTGTTGTGTTTTATTAGTTCGTTTGGAATGACATAAAGATGAATAAACAATGTCATAATTGTTATTTTTGCATGACGTATCCCATTGAGCCTGATTCATGAGCATCAATTGACTACATGCAACACAAAAAAGTAAAACATATATAGCAATGCATGCCATAAAGTCCATATTAAGCTGACCTAATAAAATCCCAGAACATGAAAATAAAGAGGATAACAACACCAGAGCACGTGCACCAGAGAAACAAACTCGCCCTCTCACATGCAAACTAATTCTGGATCCATCCCGACAGCCCTGGCTGCGATCCCGCGGCTCTTAGCGCCAAGATACTCACTGCTGCTCCAGGACTTCAGCAGGGACTTGATGCTGATCTCAAAGAAACCCGAGTCCTGCTGGCTGGCCATATCTGCAGGTCAGTGAAGTCAGTCAGTGGATGCTGAGGTCCCGTACGTTTCCACCCCCTGCCTGCAGCAGCAGCCAGAGCAGGCAGGTGGAATCGGCTGCTATGGGAGAGTGATGCTAAACAGAGATGTTGACACCACAGACTGAACCAGAACAGAGCATCACAGATCCGCTAAGCTCCCCCCCCCCCTCTATGAGTGCCCACCCCTCTCTCTCTCTCTCTCTCTCTCTCTCTCTCTCTCTCTCTGCAGGTTCACTTTAAATAACCCAGAGACAGAGGCAGGGAGAGCAGGAAGAAATCCTCTTAGCCCCGTGTGGTTAATTATAACCTCTGTTTGCTTGCATCCCAAGTGAGAGAGACTCTTCCGACTATCCTCCTTGGCTTGAGCATGTGAGAATATCCAGGAAATGAGCATCTGGTAGGTTAGTATCCTGATGTACAGGTAAAGATGAAGCCCCAGACAATGTTTGTTCTGCTATTATAGTGTATGTACCTGCAGATGTTCCAAATGGTGGTTGTTAGCAGCCACCAATATTATGGGATAAACAGGAAATCAAGGAGAAAATCTAAGGCTGATGTATTTCCCAAATAACATTATAATACAGTGGCCCCAAAAATATTAGACATGTTGGACACTTAAATCACATTTAAAAATGCCTGCTTTGCATTAGATACAAAACATGAAACCAAGTAGTATGTGCAAACAGATGATGACAGATCTTCACATCACTGTTGTAATTACTTTTAACAAACTGGTCTCAAGCTGATTTTTAATGGATATATGAAGTCAGTTTCCCTCATGATAACAAAAATGCAGTCCATCACATTAACTATTTTTTTTAAAGAAATTAATACTTTTATTCAGCAAGGGCATATTAAATAGATCAAAAGTTATAGTAAATACTTTTATTTAATACATTTCACAAATGCTGTTCTTTTAAACATTCTATTCATCAAAGAATCCTGAAACAAAAATGTTTTTAAAAAAAGAAAAGAAAAGAAAATAAATAAAAATAAAAAATTAGAATAACAATGAAGTATCATGTGACACTGAAAATGGTAGTAATGGCTGGGTAAAAACACAGCTTGCCAACACAGGTATAAATGATACATATATTAAAATAGAAAACAGCTATTTTAAATTGTAATAATATTTCATAATATTACTGCTTTTACGATCAAATAAATGCAGACTTGGTACATAAGAGACTTCCAAAAATATTTAAAAAATTAAATTTTGAACGGTAATTTATCTACTTTTTTTCTATTTTAAAACCCAACAAATGTGTTTTTGTGAAATGTTTTCCTTAAAAGTGAGTTTGTGCTATATTTCTTTCAAATGAAATCCCACTTGGTTTGTTATTTTGTAATATAATGCAAAGATATTCACTTGCAAATGTATACAGTACACTTTTTTGGGGCCACTGTATATTCCAAAGCCTTTGCCCACTTTTTGTGTGGCACCAATGACCTTCCGTGACTTTCCACTTTCACACTCAGTGTTGGTTTTGGCTTGAGCCAGTGCTAAAGTGCTGAAAAGAGACAACTGCAACGCGGTTTTAACAGTAACGTCAGCACAAGCACATTCTCACATGCTATTTTCTTAATTTTTTGCTGAGGGATTAAATAAGATTTTCTACAAAGTCCAAAGCTCACAAGAAGTCAGCAAAGGTGAAAGTGAAAGTGACGTGACATGTGGCCAAGTATGGTGACCCATACTCGGAATTAGTGCTCTGCATTTACCCATCCAAAGTGCACACACACAGCAGTGAACACACACAAACCGTGAACACACACCCGGAGCAGTGGGCAGCCATTTATGCTGCGGCGCCCGGGGAGCAGTTGGGGGTTCGGTGTCTTGCTCAAGGGCACCTCAGTCGTGGTATTGAAGGTGGGAGAGAGCGCTGTACATTCACTCCCCCCCCCCTACAATTCCTGCCGGTACAAGACTCGAACCCACAACTTTTGGGTTATGAGTCCGACTCTCTAACCATTAGGCCATAACTTCCCCAGGTCAGCAAAGCACAAACCCTAGTCCAATCAATGCAGCTGTAAACAAGATCACTTGTGACATTTCTAGTAAGCAAAAGTCTCCGTCACAAAGGCACTTAGTGAACTGCATACAGTATCAATATGGTGCCGGTCCAGCTGGTGGACTAGCATGGCCATTATGTATAATTACTGGGACTGGTCAGATATTCATTCCGTCTCAAATACAAACATAAATACAGACTCTATCAGATTCTGCATTGAGCGTTGGATGTTACGCACTGCTGATTCGCTGGCAAGCACTACACATCCTGAGTCACTCCATAATCTCATCATGCCCCTCTCTATCCCTCCGATGTCAAGAACTTGCCCTTAATTACATAATGCTCACCTCTATTAATCAGGCCAGTTTAAAGCTGCCCACTTGTGTTCTGGTGGAAAATAGTCCATTTATTCTTACTAATACTAATATAAAACAAATCCACTAAATTTAACAACAGTGTCTACTTTTCAAACAACTGTAAAGATAATAAGATACAGATTTTTTAAAACAGAAAAATGTTAAATGCTTAAATTTTCATGTGTTAATATGAGTAAACAGTTTTAGCATAGCTTTTTTATATTTTCATATTCAATATACCCCAGACAGTAACGCATATCAACAGTACCACATGTTTTCATGTGACCAAGAATTTACAACTAGAATTTGTCTACAGGGGACAAGGGATTCTCTGTTTCCCTGTTTTTGTTTACCTTTCAAAAATTAAAACATTGCTACAGTGGTTATTAAGATGACATATCCCAGTAACATCAGACATAACACACAGATCGGACCTGATGACGTTTTGGGATTGGACCTGGCACAGCAAGGGGCTCTCAGAAAGATTATTACATAATGTCCTGGCTGAACTATCGCTCAACCTTTCAACCAGACCATTATCACCACACAGTGTAACTGGAGGTCTTGATGGCTAGAAATGACCAAAATCTTCCTGATGTAAAAAGCTAAAGGGCACTAGCCATTACAACTCACAACTGAAAGCACTGTATTGGAAAATGGCTCAAGTCTTTAAAATAAAATAAAATAAAACAATTTTATATATTATGATTCTGGGACCTCTAAAATATTTCATAACCTTACAAACAAAATCAGTTTTCCCATCACAGGTATTCATCGCCACGTCTTCTCTTTAAGATAATGTAAATATTTAGTCTTAAGCCAACTGTGGGAGTGGGAGCAGGTTGTTCAGCCGCTTGAGTCCTATTAAGAGCCTATTAAAAGCATTTTCAAGCTCTGATGAAGTGATGGAATGTGAAGCATGTCTCACTGATGCAGGCGTCACTGTGGATATCAGTACCAGCTCTGCACTCCTCTTTTCTTCTCCATCTACTTTTCCTCCCTGTGCTGATTTTCCCTCTCTCCACCCTCTGGCCCCTCTTTCTCCCCTTACACTCTTACCTTATCCTCCTTTTCAGACACTTTCAAGGAAACACACACAAAGACTCACACACAGTCACACACAGGGCTCATGTAACATTTGCAGTGTCTATCCTCAATCTAAACTGCCTCTGTGTCTACTGTCATTTTCATTCAACTGTTTATCACATTAAACGCACATTAAACGAGCAGGATAAACAACGTGGGGTCCAAGAAGTCTGACACCACTAGGGAAAATGCTTCTGTTCTGCTTTAATGACAGCAGATCCAAAGAGCATCTTCTGGTTCAATGAAGAATACTTCTAACCATCTGCACAAAGTTCACATGATCATTACCACTCATCACATTTTCCTAATGACTGAGAAATAGAGGAGAATGTTGAATTGTATGTCAATGTATACTACCATTCAGATAGAATACAGTTGTTTTCATTTGTAATAATATTTCACAATATTACTGTATTTTTGATCAGATAAATGCAGCCATAGTGAGAACATGAGACTTCTCTCAAAAACATAAAAAATGAATAAATATGTTGCCATCCCAAATCTTACCTAGCAAATCAGTTCTTAATTCAATTAAGAATTAGAGTGAATACTGCAAAAACACAAGGAGCTTTTTTGCTTTTTTCTACTTTGATCTGCATTTCCTCACATTTCAGCAGACCACTATGGAAGTTTTCACGTGTTCAGTTGGCTCACGCACAACTTTGATAAACTGACAGCAAACAGTCTATTTTAACAAACATGACGGCACATTCTTGAGCTAACCAATAAATATCTATAGACGTTGAGGCATGTCACAGATGGTTGATGGAAAGACTTATGAAGTTATGCCCACCCTAGCAAAGTGGCTTCTCAATTTTGCTCCAACCTCTAATTTCATAGCAGACAGCGACAACAAATAAACACACGGGCTTGCGCAATCAGCACCTACATGTCAGAATGGTGGGCCTTTTCCTGGTCCGGATCTTCTTGAACTTCCCGCGAAAGTCGCCGCTCAGCATCAGGTCTTCAGGTAAGCTGGCCATGCTCTCCAATTCAGTCCCATCATTCTCCTGATGTACCGGCAGCTCCTTGCAGCCACACTCACCATACGACATCTCCAGTTGGCGAGCAGCCCACTCCCTGTCAGGCTTTCCACAGCGGTAGCATTGAACTTTTCAGTTTGTTTGCTCTCCTTCTGCCTCTCTTTTCCCTTTCTTTTCCTTCTCACAGAGGACTGAGTCTTGATCCTTTGCTGTTTCTTATACCAGTGTGTGTGTGGTGTGGAGAGAAGCAGCCAGATAGGAGCCCGGCTCTGTGCTGCAAGTGTGTTTTAACCCCCTCGCACTTGTCAAAGCAGTTCAGCCAGTTACTGTACAATGTATGAAAGCAGACAGGTGTAGGATTACCGTGCCGCCCAGTGACAAAACACAAGACGAAAAGCAAGACAGAGAAAAAGAAAGAGAAAGAGACACAGTAGGAAATGCTGCAGTGGGCAGCTCTCCGTCTTTGAGTAGTTATCACAAACAAGCTGCTTCCGCCGGTTTGAGTCATTTAGTCCTCATCCTGTGATAGTCCAGAGGGTGGGATTCCCCAAAGATAACGCAGATCCTTGCACGTCTCATGTTTTTGGAGAGGCATCCCCCAACTCCGCTGGGATGGAGGAATCACTTAATTGTGCCTGTTATTTGAATTGGAAGGCTCTGATGTGGATTGTCCTTATTCAGTCAGTAAAAGAAAAGCTCAACACAGACTATGTAATGGGAATTGTTGCATCATGGGTGTAAACCCTCAGAGACTTAAAGAGAAACCCTGTAAAAAAAATACACACTTACCTTGTAACGCTCATTTGTAATTAGAAATAGCACCAGAAACAGCCCACACCTACGTGAACGGATTTTTCCACTGTTACCCTAAATGAAAAATACAAACCCACTTTGTGTGCACTTATAGGCGTTTTCTGTTTTAAAAGTACGCCTTTTAAGCCAGCTAGTAGACTGAAGAATAGATATGTGCAACAACATGGAAAATACAATTAGTGTTATTTCCCTTGATCTAGCTTAGTCACACCCTGTAATGTTGCATAATACTTTAATACAATTTCTACTATTTCAATTTAAAGCGAATAAAAAAGGGAAAAAGTTCAACTTGTGTACCTCATGGAAAACCACAATTGAATTAGGAGGAATATAACCGCACAACATCACTTAAGTAATCAAATTACAGCTCTGAAAGGAGGGTTGGTGTTTTTGGTGAATAGTAAAGCACTTTTGAGGACATGATGTGAACTTCATGGATTTTGTTTCGGGACAGATCCAAAGGGCTTCCAGTATGCTGATTTTTTTTTTTTTAAGTATGTCCAATTTTGCATGAAGATACGGAGTAATTTTACACTACCATTTATTTGGGTTAGATTTTGAAAAAAAAAAGTCACTTCATTCTCACCTAGGATGCATTTATTTAAAAAAAAAAATTAGTAAAAACAGTAATATTGTGAAATATTATTATACTTTAAAATAGTTATTTAATATTATTTAAAATGTATTTTATTCCTGTGATGCTAATTTTTTTAGTAACCATGATCACTCCAGGCTTCAGTGTTACATGATCCTTCAGAAATCATTCTAATATGCTGATTCGGGGCTCAAGAAAATATTTGTATTTATTTTAATATTTTTTATTTATTTTTCATTATTTCATTTACTTTATTTTTATTATTATGAATATTAAACCGTTGTGCTGCTTAAAATTTGATTGGAAACGGCAACACATTTTTTCAGTATTCTTTGATGAATAGAACGTTCAAAAGAAAATAATGTATTTGAAATAGAAATCGTTTGTAACATTGTAAATGTCTTTACTGTCACTTTATATAAATGCTTCATTCATTCATTCACTTTTGTTCAATTTAATGTGTCCATGATGAACAAGTCTATTAAAAGACTATCAAATTAATAAATAAATAAACAATTTTACCAACTCCAAACCTTAGAACAGTAGTGTACATATGCTTTTAAAATGTCAGCTTTGTACCAGCATTTTTTAAAATTATTATTTCAAAACTATGGTTTTAATTTCAGATTTGATACAAAGCAATGGCAATGTGATTTTTAACAAATTGTAACATAAGTTGCACAAATGCAAATCAATCAGTGATAGTTTAAAAGATCTATTGTGCAATCTAGAAGAAAAAAATGGTGCAACTACGCCCTCTAGAGTTAAAAGTATAAACAAGCATATGCAAGACTGCCACAACCAGCCGTTAGCTGTTGTTTAAAATAGCATTAAAATCCATAAGTACATAGACAGCTGATAACATCATACATAGGTCTATAAATTGAGTATATCATATCAAAAGCTAAAGAAGATAATGTTACACTTGTGATAAATAATGTACATTGATCACAAAACATACATAATACTGTAAATTGATCCCAAAACATACTTTCAAAGAAAGTTTTCAGACTCCATTTAATGTCCAAAATAGTTTCACAAGCTCCTGAAATGCAGAGCAGGTCTCTGTGGGCTGAGAGAAGTAGGCAAGAGTTTGGCGAAGGAAGCCAACGCCTCCGGGCACTGGGAGAATTCAGCAAGCTGTTGCCATGGCGACTGCAAGGGCCATCTGAATTTGCATATGCAGAGAAGGGCCCTGGTAAATAATTGATGAACGCCTATTATTAGAATAAACTCATTTAAAGTTAACTGTACCTGGATGAGCCTTTATCTGTAAATTCTAGAGAAAAGAAGGGAGCAACTGTAATCAACAGTGGCAAACATCTGCCGCACTGCAAATAATCGACCCAACACACTCAGCTAGATGAGTGTGACTGTGTACTTTGTCTCTGTTGACCCACTTAACATGTTATTTCTCAATCATTTGCACAAGTGTAAACACTTTGGAGCATCTGTGCATATTGAGTTTAGAGTGCTTTAGTTCAACACGGCCTCTAGAAGATCAATTCCTCAAATTATTTTTGGGGAAAGCAGCAGCAAATAGCCATTAGGAGGGAAGCACAGAAAGCATTTCAAATAGTTTTGAACCAGTAGTTTAATGCCTGGAGATGGTGAGAACATATCATGTGACTCATCAAAGCAGCTCTTTCAGCCTGATCTCATGCACGTCCAGTCAAAGTGCTTCAGCTGCCATCTGGAGCTCAGAGTCTCCGACCACACTGAGAGACGTATTCCTGCTCCTCATCACAACATACAAACCCAGATCAACCCAAATCAAGCTCAATCTAACTCATGCTTTATGCTTAGTAACCTTGCCTTGAGCATGTCTTGGGTGTTTTAGGATGCCATTTAGATGTTTTAGAAGTCCATACTGAAATAAATTATTTATTTAAAAAATAAAATGTAGCCCCTGCTTCTGAAATAAAATTCAGTTTTTATTAGAGTTGTGTATTTGCTTGATTTTATGAATTGCTATAGAGTTACTCATATTTTCCGATTGATTTTTAGCTGATTGCTTTGTGGACTTTAGCAGTGTTGTTTTAGAATTATTTATATACTATTACAGTATTTATTAATATTTTGAATTAGCTTATATTATTATTAATTTAAATTTGATTAATTTTGTTTTTGTCATTTTTTAGTTTTTTTTAAACATTTCTAATTAGCTTAAATTTTTTTTATTTCAAATGTAGTTTTAGTAATTGTAGTACTTCAGCTCAAACTTGTTTTATTTCAGTTAGTTGTCATTTCTAATTTTCATTTAGGGTTTTTAAGTTTAAGTTTTTCATCTAATATTTATATTTTATTCCAGTTTTATTTCAATTAACAAAACAATTTCTATATTCTATAACCATTTCTATCTTTCTATATTCTATAACAATTTCTATCTTTCTATATTCTATAACAATTTCTATCTTTCTGATATTCAGATTCTTATATATGGCCAAGTCTTACTAGTCTGTCTTTTTTTTTTATCCACCAAGCAAAAAAATAATAACCCAGATCACTTAAAATTCCTCTCCTTAAAAAGCCTCAAAATTTAAGGTATTGTTCATGTCTGTAGCGCAAATAAAATGTTATATTATAATAAATGTTAATTTATAATAATAAATAATACAAAAACAATATAAAGCAAAGCTGATGCCTATGAATGCAGCATTCTCAGGGTTGAGGCCGGTGGTTGCTGTATAAAAGTACCGGTTCTTTCCGCTCCACTGATAATGGGGTCTTTCAGGGCATCTGGGTCCTCACCCTGCACCTGTCCCTCTAACTGCTGGCCTGTTAGCAAACAGAGGTATGGCTAATGTCTTACATCCAATCAGACAGATCAAATACTCCTAATGGGCGGAGCTTACATCTCATCACCCTATGCATCGCAAAGAACCGGTGCCACTGACACTGCTCATATCTGGTTACAGCCAGGTGATTCTGTTCTTTTTCTATGGCCAGCATCGACACTCACACAAACGTTCATTGTTCAGCCTTCAAGATGGGAAAAGGAAATCAGCCGTTGGCTCAGGTTCAACAATCAAGCGTTTGACACTCACAAAAGACACCCTCTGTCTCAAGTGACACGTGAAGACGTTGGTGTTTGAATGTCCCTGGGCCTCGGCCATTGTCTGAATGGCAACGTTCATGCCAAGTCATAATTGAACTGCAAGCGAACGCGATACAGGCTAATTAGATTATATTTACATGCACCTTCAGATGAAACGCAAGGGAAATATGTGTTGGCGGATGAACATGAAGAACATTAAAGAAATAGGAAAGGAACATGACTAGGTAAATAATACCAGATCATAAAGCTCCCACCTACTCGCATATTTATAGTAGTGTAGCACGGTTGCCAGAGAAACAAGCTTCTGTAGGATGTTCTTCAAAGAGATGTCTGAGAATGTTCTGTCAGAATGTTTCAGTACACTCTGGAATAACAGCTAAAGAGAACGAGTTACAACAAATCACTTATATTTTGTTATAAAGATCACCAAGAATCGTTATTATTATTGTGAAAAACTGGTGCCACCAACATGCCACTTCACCAAGACACCTGAAATGTATTCGCATACACACTTTCTAGATTATTCTAGGTCATAAACTAAATTAGTAATATTTCACAAACAGCTGTCTTTTATCTTCATATCTAAACTTTACAAAATACTGGAAACCATTTTAATGGTTCGCTCATTGTAAACTGCACTTTAAACCTATTTAAAACAAAAAGTGTTTACATTTTACATAATCAGGTTTATCAGTCCCACCAGCAGCATGACCTCATTTACATAAATGTACACCAACAAATTTGCAGTTCCATATAAGAAGCTTTACCAAGAAACCTAAAATGTGTCCGTATACACTGATTTCTAGATCATTCTAGGTGATAACC